TTGATTTGGCACTACCATCAGTAGAATCAATCATTCTATGAAGAGAAATTGATTAAACAAAATACGTGTTGGGGGACATCCGTTTTTTGGGACCACAGATGAAAATGCATTGCAGTGACCAGGATGATGTCTGGTAGTCTATAAAATTATAGGGTCTCTTTTAGTTACCTAGAATATCCTAGAATACTATTTGTGGTTGGACATCTTATGAAATTGCACCAATTATATATCCTCTATGAAATAATAGGGCCTGTGCCAAAGGTTCTCTCCCCCAAGACCAGCCAAGTTGCTGATGCCAATTGAGGGACCGCGAAGCTCGTCTTGAATTTCGGGAATTGCGAATCCACATAGTGTCCATGCCTCCTTTGGCGCTCCGCAGTCGCACCAACAGTCTGAATAGGGAGTTGAAGAGGTCACCCTTCATCTGCACTGCTTCCAGCAGGCTTGAAGGCAGGTGGTTTCCCTCGCGTCTTTCCCCACTTTTTGGGCTGACAGCCGTTTCCATGCCAAAGGCCTCTGCAACGTTGGCTAAAGTGCAAAGATGCTTGAGAAGTTCACCGTCTGGCAAATCCTTCGTCTCTGCGTCCACGCCAAGTGGATCTTCTTGGTCTTGAGCCGCGAACGCATCAGGATCTTCAGAGGCCCACATCCTGTTGCACTCTGCATCTTGCTGCAAATGCTCAAGAAACTCTTCGCATTCTGTCTTGCTCTTTGCGTGCGGCTTGACGTCTTCCTCTTCCTCCAATTCCTCTAGCGGGTCTCCATCTTCAGGATCTTCGATCTCCTGCTCACACCTCTTCCTATACATGGCCTCCAGGATGCTGGACTTCATATCGCTGACTTTGGAGACCAGTGACAATGTTGCTGCAAGTGCATTCTTGCAGCAGGTTTCAAACCTCAGCAGGTCTAGCAAGAAAACACGCAAAACCACTATAAAATGGATGGTATTGCATGGATGCTTGGAGTTCTCTTAGCAAACAAAGACTAACAAGGAGAAGTCTGCAGAGGCCATTGAAATCTATATACAAGTCAACATGCATCCACAAAAACATTATGATACATATTGATACATCATGAATCGTTACGATTCATTATGACACATATTCCTGGCTAGAGGCTGTTGATGCGTAAGCTTCTCCTCACCCATGTTGGAATTGGACAACTTGATCCTGTTCAGCGTATTGCTGGAACGAAAGGATTGTCTTGCATCTGCAGCAAAGTATTGCCGTGTTGTCAACTGACTGTTGCTCATTTGCGAACGGAGATGCCCGAACACCTGCTCTATCGCAATTTCCGTCAATCTGGCGTTGCCATACCGCCAAGGCTCAAAGTCGATGTCCTTCGTGAGGCACACCACGACTGTGGAAAGAGCAACGTATTGCAAGTTGGCACACGTGACAGGGGCCATGAATGTGCTGCCTGCAGGCAAGCACATTTGCTTGCACTTGTCCATAGCAAGCATTTGAAACATATCCAGGCACAGGAAACCTGAAAGCGCTGCTTCAGCTCGCTCCTGCAATGAAATGTCTCGGTGGAAAGCGGGGGCTAGGCAGAGTGTCACGCAAAGGTGATGCAAAAGACAGCCCTTCAGTGACCATGGTACCGTCATGCTGGCATAGTCTGAGTCCCCTCACAGCACAGACAGTTCTAAAGAAAGCATGGGCACACAAGCAAAAACATACCAAAACAATTCAAAACATATAACAAAAACAGTAAACCACATCAAAGTACATCAAAGCACCAAAAAAAAACTAGTGTATCCTAGCAACGACTGATTCCACCAAATAATGCGGATTCGACCGGATCGCTTGAAAGCGGTCACTCATCGGGCTTCCCCTAGCATAAGGAAGTGGCGGCAGCCCCATCTCTCTGCAAGCCGTATGATCTGCCCAGAAAGAACCATAGTACGAAGTTCGCAAGCAGGATGCTAGTTGCCCTCCGGAATTTTTTCCGGCGTGACCTTGTCCGGCCGAGAAGTGATTAGAAGGAATCTCTATAGAATGCATGGGATCTAAATAAATAAAATAAACACATTTAAAAAAACAGTTCAAAGCATTCCAAGACAATCAAATACAATCAAAAACATTAAACTATATATATTAAACTGATGTGTTCTACAGAATGGATGGGTCTCCAATACTTGAACACAGGCAAGGCACACGGGCCAGGCAGTGCCCAGACTGCTTTGCCTCTGTACATCGCAATGCGTACTGGAAGTCTCGGAAGTGGATTCTCTGGCAGCTCCTGCCACTCCAGTTCTCCGAAAAAGGGAACAGTTCGGAGCTCTTCCAAGTCTACGTCTTGGAGTTGACCACACAGCACCTTCCTGATAAACTGATGTGTTGTAGCGGCGTCGAAAGCTATGCCGCGGATGATCTGATCGGAGTGGGACAAGACAGTGCCAAGAGTGTGTAGCATCGCCCAGTTGCCCTTGTACTTGGCATCAAGCCCTTCAAATGAGGAGCCCAGAGGAATAGCGCATGCTGAGAGGCAAGCCTTCTTGGGTGCCGAGGGGTCCCAGCAAACGCAAGCCATCATGGATGACGCCTTTGGAATTGCCTTAATGTCGACACGCCCTTCCTCCAAGGAGAAGAATGCGTTCTGTGGATTCTCAGGTGCCCAAGCACCTCCAACAATGCCTTTCTTGCCGAACAAGGATATCTGACAAAGTGTCTTTGTTAGGTATGTATGGTCAAATGCCAAGATTAGCCTGCCTCAGCTGCACCACAGTCAGCCTATAAAAAGACTGGGTATATGATGGTATATGTTTCTATATGTTTCTTTTAATTGTTTTCATTCAAAGGCCCCTCGATTGTATAGAATTTGTATAGAAGTACAAGACATTACAAGACCATACAACACCAAACATGAAAAGAGACACAAGAAAACTAAACAACAATATCATACAATGTTCAACAATGCTGAGTTACATCGCTCGGTCCCAGGGCGCCTTTCAAATCGTTGATCGATTATGGTAAAGTTGCCGGAGAGGATCTCTGGATCCATGATCGCTAATGCTGGCCGCGGCAACGACCTTTCGGCGAGCTTGTCCATGACATTCAAGGAAACAGCAGAGATCCCGAACTCCTTGCAAAGCTCTCTGTTGGATGCTCGCAAGGCCAGCTGCAGACCTGCGTCTGCCACCAATTAATTCCCTTTCCCGTGCAGTCTCCTGGCCCCTCCGGCCTCGCATGTTCTCAATCCCTCGGGACTTGCGATCGAGCATCCGGGAACATTGAATGGCCAGACCCATGATCATGGGGTGGCCTTCCAACTGCCCGCTCACGGCGGCTGCGGCCACCCGAATATTAGCACAATCCAGATCACTTGCCTCTCCCGAAGCCAGAATGGCCGTGAAAGATGCTACAATCTCACCCAGGCGGTCAGGAACTGATGCCACGCTGACCTTCAAACACGGGTTGACAACGGTGGCCACAAACTGCTCCATGCCAGGTGATTTGTGGGACTCGCAGCAGACACTGGCTCGGACCACCTGAAAAGGATTGCAAAGAATGGCCAGTGAGGTGTGAACCTCTATGAAATGATGGGGATCCCATTAAAAAGTATATGTATAGGATTGTATAAGTATGTATAAGTATGTCAGCTAAAATCATCTGAATCTCTATTGAATGATGGGGGCTCTATGGGCCTTCTGTGACTTGCCTGTTGTCACAGAATTTGATTGGAGATCTCTTTTCTGAAGTCTGAATGTCTATGAAATGACCGGGTCTCTAAGATACACAAGCAACATCAAGTAAATAACCACACAATCCACACCTGTTGCAGTTTGCTGTTGTCAAGACTGATGAGTTGTTCCACCTTCTTGCTGTCACGGTTGTAGAGAAAGCTGTTTCGCATTTCTGCTTCCACCTTCACTACCTCAGCTTGTCCCACAAAGAGCCGCGCCGAGAGCAACCTTGATGTGTAGTACTTGAGGGTCAATCTGTAAACGTTCCCGAAAATGCTGTGCTGGACCGTGAGAGCTTGACATTGGTCGCACATGTCTCTCCCAGCAAACTTTGGCTTGCAATGTGTGCGGCAAGAGGAGCTTCTGATGTACCAAGTGTCTCCAAATTCACCACTAGTCTCCCGCCAGTAGCTGTGTTTGGCGTACACGCTCAGGTTGGACATGGATGCCCAGGTCGCAAACTCTTCGCGGCTTTCATAAAGCACACCTGCGGATGGATGACCGATGCATACAGCCGGGCACGGGACCAATTTGGAATCATCACACTCTTCTCCATTCTCAGAAAGCCTCTTCATGGCCTTTACGTGGCCAGCTGATTCCAAATGTTGGTCCAAGAAAAACTTCACTGAACTTGCCTTTGGAACGTTGAGGTTCCCCACCTTTCCCTCTGGCCATGTCTTGTTCTTGCAAGCGTGGCATCTATATGGAAAAGCTTTTCCAAAGCTACCTGGCTCCAGTAGTTCAATCGTTGGAGCAAATTTTCTGGCATAAGAGAAAGGGTCTTCATCCTCCTCCCCCTCCTTGTTTTGCACTGAACTTTTCTGGTCCCGCCCTTGGTCCTGCGCAACCGACTCCTGCTCCAAAGTAGCTGTCTCAGTCTGCAAAACGGGCGCGATTCCCGTGCTAGCAAACTCAATAACGAATGACTCAAGGTCGTCACAGGAGAAATTGCATTCCTCCAGAAGACAATCGCAGGCTTTGCATTTCATCTCTGTTCCAGACAGGAGCTTCTCCTGCATCCTCTTGTACCCGCCACCTGGACATTGGTTGAGTTTCTTCATCGGTGCGTGCCTGCAAAACCATCGGATGGACATGGATGGACATGGAATTAAAGGCTCCAAACCCATATCCGTCTCTGTAAAATGGCAGGCACTGTATGTCACTGCAACATGTTTGCTTCTGTATGCTTCTGTATTTAAATAGATGTAATTATATAGTTCTATCTCCATAGATCTGAACCCGGAACAACACAATTGGATACCACACAACATCACACAACTATCTATAAAATGAAAGGACTTGTCCACCACACACCAGCATTTTTCAGACCCATGCCTGGAATGCATCCTCTGGAATTCTCCCCATGTTGCCCCAAGGGAGCCCAGATACAAGCGCACAGCCTTTTGTCGCACCTCCGACTCTGAGATGTCTCTGCGTTTGCAAGCCCGCTTATGTTTCTTCTTCTGGAGCCGCAGCACAGGATCCTGGTTGCATCAAAGAAAGCGTGATAAATTTACAGCAAAGATTCTCTATTAAATCTTGGACCCTCTTCTGTTGTCCCTCAAAAATGCAATACCATCAAAGCTGATGATCTATGGTATGAATCTCCTCTATGAAATACTAGGGCTTCAGTCTAGTTCCAAAAAAACATGGCTGAAGTGCACACCTATCAGTAAAATCAATAATTCTACATAATTCTATGAAACTTATAATGTAAGCTTGATGAATATTGTGGAGACTCTTTTTGTTACCTAAATTGCTATTTGTGGTTGGATATCTTATGACATCTTACCAAATAAACCTCTATGAAATAGTAGGGCTTACCTCCAAAC